TTAATTAATTTGGTTGTTTTTTTTGGTTAATCTGTGCATTTTATGTATAAACTAAAAATCAAAATTAGTGCTTCTTATCTTACAGGCAACAATTTTTGGAACCTGGGGAAACTGTTCTTATGATCTCAAATGTGAAGAAATTACAGAAACTAACAAGCAAGAAGGTGCAGCTCATCCTTACAAACAAGCCAAAGTTGATCTACGTTGACCCATCAAAACTGATTGTAAAGGGAAATATGTTATGGTCTGATAATCCAAGTGAACTTTCAGTCCAAGTGACTAGTCCTTCACATTTTAAGATTTGCACAGTAAGTTGCTGTTATCTTTATTTATCTTGTTATAAGTTTTTGTTTATAGTTACAGCAAGCTGTATGTATTGATGGTAAAAAGAAGACCCCATATCCGTCATTACCATGGATAGTATTTAAGTAAATATTTGATTTGAAATTTAATATATATGCATGAAATGTAAGGAGCTGTAATGCTACTTGCTTAGTTGTTTTCTAGGGCTTTCCCGAACTTGCAATGTCCTTGTTAGATTTCTTTTATACCTCTTGATATTTTGATGATTTATGATTTGTGATTTCTCTTAAATAAACAATGCAGCCAAAGAAAGTAATAAAGTAATGTCATTGGAGGATGCAAAACAAAGAGCATGGCAGTGGAAGAAGGCAATTGAAGGGCTTCAAAACCGATGATGAAACTCACTGTTTCTGACAACAGTATTTTCAGTGTCTTGTTACTGTTCAGGATGAGGGGACTAATCAATTTAGAACCCTCTGATACGTATTCATCAACAGAAAATGAAGTTACAGATTAGCTTTCCGAAACTGGTTCAAGCTAATTTCTCACAACTTGAGCTTATGATTACTTACCCAGCCCCTTTCATGCTTCTATGGGATGACATGTATAATGTGAAAAACAACAACGCTAGGCTATGTTAAGAGGTTGGAATCATTTATTTGTATTAAAGAACTTCAAAAGTCATAACGTATACCATGAATTGAAGATGATACAAGTTTTGCTTTTTATATTGTATGAATTTCTCCATTTCTTTCTGCTCAAAACCATGTCAGACGCTGAAATTTCAACTCTAATTTCTCCAGAACTGTTGAAATTACTCACTAGATTTTGCCCTCGGAAAATTGCAGATATGTTGATGTAGGTAAAATATCTGGCAATTCCATAGTATTGTTTAGGTATTCTTCTTTTTTTTTTTGACCAGCATTGTTTTAGGTAATCAATGGAAGTTTATGTGAGAGGATGATGAGAAATAGTGCTGCAAGCTGTATTGTTTTTCTTCTGCTGCGAAAATTTTGTCCCAAAAGAACAAAAAACTCCATCATATAAAAAATAATTTTAATTGACAATAATGTGAGTGTAAATGTATGCAAATATAATCTGACATTCAGGGAACAAAGGGCCAGTTATATGGGGCTCACTTTCTGATGAGTGAATGAGAGATTTTAATTCATGGGCCCCATTGTTATCCGTTTATCTATCTCTCTCACGTGCCCAAAAATCAAACTTTCAACAGACTGTCAACTTCTTCCGCCCACCCCCCTCCCAACAAAAACAACAAAAAAGGATTATTGACTTCTGATGTTAAAAGGCTCTTTAAATATAAATCACTAGTAAACTCCAGTTACCATCAATGCCTTATAAGACGTTGAAAATTCCATAAATTCATTGGATTTTTAACTTCTAAGAAACGAAAGCCCTCTTTTTATCGGGGTTTGACTTACAGGTAATACTGTTCCATAACCAGATACCAGTTTGACAGAGAACGTTGAGTGGGCTGGCAGGCACACGCAGTCCATAAAACACGAACAAACATAACCATGTGTAAGCAGACATCTGTGTTGAAAACAATTGTGTCTGCTATGTTCATGTATTTTCTATAAACTGTATCCATTTACCAATATTTTTAGCTTCTTATTGCTAGTTAAATTCACTCTTCAATAAGCATGGCTGCAAGAGTTTTGATGATTATGTTGCTGAGTTTGACAGCAGCATTGCAGAACCATTAAGCAGAAGAAGGGCAATGCAAGTGATACAGGAAGTGAAGCAGAAAGGGCCATATTTTGGTATCATCGCTGCCTACCCACCTGAGGAGATTGCATTTTTTGCTTCCAAGGCATTTGAACCCGATCCAAATCACCCTTTTGTGGAACTCTCAGGTTCTTCTTCTATAAAAACTGAGATCCATTATTTTTATAAACATGTTTTTATGTAGTTAAGAAGCTTAGATTCGGGAGTTAGTTGTGTGAAAATGGTGGTTGCAGGGAGGCTATACAGGGTCGGGAAGGTCTTTGATAAGAAAGTCATCTTTGTGAGGTGTGGAGTAGGAATGGTATGTATACGCATGAATGCTTCTTCATCAGTTCTTTCTCGTGTGCGATTAATATTATTTTACTTACAAGTCTGATGATATACACATATCCACGCACAAAAGCATGAGAAATTTTAAATTCAGAGGATTAATTTGTTTTATTATTTGAAATTTTTTTCTCCTATTTTAAGGGGTGAAGCAGAAAGGTAACTCAGTCTATTTTTGTGAAACACACGTGTAGAGATAGTACCGGCCATTCTCTCTCTCTCTCTCTCTACTTCATACCTTGAATACTTAGTCCATGTTTGGCTAACCACTCCAAAATCACTTTTTTAAGCAAAATCAAGGTTTTGTGTGATTTCATCCAAACACTAAAAAAAAAGTCAACGAGTGATTAATGAACTAGAAACCATGGTTTGAGGAGAAGTTGGATTGATCAGCTTTTGAGAAAATCTTCTCTCCAAAATCATTGAGTTTCTTTTTCTCATTTTGATTTTGGAATATTTTTTAAACTCAAAAATGAGGTTGATGTTGGCTCTATTACAGCTGAACGCAGCAGCAGTGGCACAACAAATGATTGATGTGTTAGACGTAGTTGGGATACTGCATTTTGGAATTGCTGGAAGTGCGAATGACTCCATTTCCTTTGGGGATGTCACCATTCCCAAACAGTTTGTTCATACTGGCCTATGGGACTGGCTGGTACTTCAATTTTCTTTCTGTAAAACTTGTCAATCTTTCAAGTACCTAACGCTTTGCAAATAGTACTAAAGAAACTCTTGAATTTATGTTTGTGTTTGATAATGGCAGAAGCCGAATGGGACACTTGAAAGTAGTGACTTTGCTCACTTGGATTTTGGTAACTTCGATGTTCCAAAAGGCAACAATTTGTTGGGACGTGTTGGCTACAGTTCTGAAGAATTCTTTTCTGTCACTGGAAAACCCAACTTAGCACAGCGTTTGATCTGGGCTAAAGTTACTTCTCAATGGCTTCAACTTGCTGCTACTTTGGAGGTTAGAACAAAACATGATGCTACTCACTGTCAAGAACTTGGCCATATATACGCCAATACACCATAAGGACGCCAGTTCAAATTTCCTAAATGCAATAGCTAGACAAGTAATTTACATAACTTAAAATAATTAGTCAAGTTAGTTATATGTAAAAAATATATGTTAATTCTCCTAAAGTACTTTTTTTAATTATTTATGTTAGAAAATACTCACTTGATGGGAAACTCTCTTAATATGTGCAATCATATGGAGAGTTTAGGGTGAAAAAATGATAAATTTGAGAGACAAAGTGGATTGAAATCTTATTATAGTCAAAACAAACTCTTTTATACAAATTCTTACATTTAGGACTAGAAGGATTACTGTGTATCCGTAACATACTACCTTTACGAGTCTCATTACCCTTTTCAATCCTCTTGATAACAGATGCATACGGAAGTGAGAAACTGATAGCTCGTGTAATTTGTGACAGGGAATACAGCTAGAACGTTGTATAAACTCGAGCTTTTGTCTTCCGCATAGTACCAAGTTAGTGGTTGGTGTGAATGGCACATCAGCCGACATATATGTCGACAATGAAGCTTACAGAGATTTCCTGTTCCAAACATTTCAAGTTTCTTCTGTTGATATGGAGAGTTTCGCCATAGTCATGGTCAGTATTCTTCACCACTTTCATCCCCTTCAATCTTCATGCATATGCATACATAATAAACTTTTCAAACACATGCATATATTTGACGCGGGAGAACTCACACACACACTGCCTCTGGTCTTAAATATAGGAGCTAGTTAACTAATTTGATGAGACTAATTTGATGAGACTAAAAAATAAGTTTAGTTAGTTATTTGTAATAAATATGTATTGTCTTTTTTAAAATGTTTTTGCTAATCAAGTGTATTGGCTAGAACTATTATTATGAGAAGGATTACCTTGGAAAAAAATCAACAGATATGAGAGACAAAGCAAGTTGAGGTTTTATATTTAGGACCAAAATAAAAGTCAAACAAGGTCTTATATTAAGAACTGGAGGTTGTGTGTGTGTGTAACGTAATAGTGCACAAGACTCCTACCAAGTAGAGGGTCTAGAAAGGGATGGATGTACACAGCCTTACTCTTGCAAGTAAGCAAAGAAGCTATGTTTAGGATTTGAACCTTTGACCTTGCATAGCAGCAATATTACAGTTGCTCCCAAACTCACCCCCTGATATATATAATTGTTGGTGAATATAAATACTTTAAAATAATTTAGTAACTTTCTTAGTTTTCACAAATTAGTTAGTTGGGTCTTATATTAAGACTTGGGATAGTATATAATTATTAGAGAATATAATGAATGTGTTTGATTGCAGACAAGCTTGTCGAATGGGATTCCAGTGGTAGTGATAAGAGGAATATCAGATATGGCGGGAAAGAGCGGAGAAGAAGCCATTGACACATTTGGAGCTCTTGCTGCTACCAATGCAGTCACAGTTTTGCTTCGCCTTCTCAACATTTTGCCTTCCTCACTTCATCATTACATTTCATTTTTTAACTTCTTCCAACAACAGTCTACTTCTTTCATCACTTTGATCTTACTGTTGTTCTTTCTTTTTTATCCGCAAATATAAATGCAGGATGATAAATAAATTTTATCCCATCATTTTATTTTTCTAAAAAAATTATTTATTTTTAATTTGTGACAACCTACATATGCCATCACCCACAATCGTTGTAATTAATAGATTATGTGCATAATGACTATTATTTATGATTGAAAAAACTATAAGTACTCAATGTAAAATTTCTTTTACAAAAACCTGATTAAAAATCATGAAACTGTAAGGACTAACAAGTTTGTTTTTTCTTAAAATTTCAAAGATCAATTGCATTTTATCATACAGTCAATGATAAATTGCAAAATGTAAGTGTGGAGTGCTGTATTTGCATCAAGTTTTCGGATCTTATATATTAATAGTTGGAAAATTAATGACAAATTGCGATTTGCTAGTGTCAAATTTTGAAAACTCAACATGAAACTCTCATACTGATATGTATAGGTTAAATTTTTTTATGGTAAAAGTTAGAACATCAGTTGCAAATGTTTTTTCCATATAAGCGAAAAGCCAGTGTGAAATTTTTAAAGGTATATGATGCAATAATTTGACACTTATCCTCTGTAATAACTTACAACTGTTTTTGAATTTGGTAAGAACATTTTATTAAAAAAGGAATAACTATGTAATTTCATAGGATTGACATTAATGATCAAAATAAACTTTAATTGATCCATGTGACCATATGTGAGAAAGATGCCAGATATTATTGTATGTGTCATTTGAATCACGAGGGCGGTTGCCTCTGTCATTTATACTGCAAATGTACGTTAAAGCAAAATATATTGAAGCATTTATAGTATTCAAAATATATCTCATTTTTCTATTTCAAATATTGTTAATTATAATAAATTTCCTCTGTCAGTGTAATTTTAGCTTTTCTTTTATCCTTCATGACAGACTTGTTTCCCTCCCCAAGTGATAGACAAGTAAAAACTTTGAAACAGTAAAAAATAATTTTCTTTTTACATAATACTTCCTCTATATCACTTAATATAATATTAATAAACACATTTACGTTGATAGACAAACAAAAAAAGATAAAAATATATCACTTTAAAATCTGTTTTTGCTTTTCATTCTATCTTCCCTCAATTATACTCCCTCCGGTTCATAAGGAGTGCATTTTTAACATATCAAAAGTGTAATGGGTACTTTAGATTTTTTTTCATAGGGAGTACTTTTAAAAACATGCATTAATTATACTTAGAAATCTATGGTGAAGGTTTGAAGTTTGGATACTATACAATGATGAATAGTTGGGGCAGCATGATTAAAATTAGATTTTATACAATTAAATATATTTACACACATCAACTTATCAATGCTCTAAGTTTTGAGTCTAGGATCTCATCTAAACATAGTGAAGTTAGTAAGCTTTGAGTTTAAAACCTTATTTACACATGATAAGTGGTACTGCTATTAGGATAATTTGCTGATATGATTGAACATATATCTTAAGCTAATTTTATAGAGAATTTTTTTCGATCCTAAATATAAGACTCTTTTTGTAATGTAATTACTATTGGGATAATTTGTTGATATGATTGAACATATATCTTAAGCTAATTTTATAGAGTACTTCTTTCCATCCTAAATATAAGACCTTTTTTGTAGTGTAATTTATACTATAAAAATGGTTTTATATTTAGGACAGGAGGAGTATTAATTTTCATATGATATCTGATATTCAATGGCATCGGATGGCACGCAAGCATGATTGAAGTATCTATAATCTCTTCTACCAAAGACAGTATTATCTTGAATTGTGATTATTTAACCATCCATGCTTGTGGAAACACCTAACATTAAAATTTAAAATTTAATTTTATTCAGACTGTAGGACACAGCAACTTGCTTAAAAAGATATTGGTTTGTGAGCAAGTGGGGAGATGCGATATACCAAATCTGAAGAAAAGCTTAAATATATATATACATGGGAAAATGTGCAACATGTGGTCAATAATTGAATCCCAACAATCACGTAATAATACCGAACAGATCAGTAAAGAATAATAAAAGTAAAATAATATTATACATCGAGATAAATTAATTAAAGAGTAGGGACCATAATTATAAAAGATAGTGAAAGAGAGGAAGGATATTAAGAAAGATTACTATGATATTTTAGAAAAAACATGTCATATTTCTTATAATTAACTAACTTACCTAACTTCTTTAATCTAATTAAGTTAGTTAAATATATCTTATATTAAGGATTGAAGAAATATATATTTAATGATAAGGGGGCGTATGTTTCTATTGGAAACAATCCTCTGTTAAATACTAAATGTGAACAAATTTTTTAATAGAGATTCATATTTTAATTTGTCAGAACTAGCTTTTTTCATTATTAGACTCAACCCTTATTAGTCATACACATGCACACAAAAATGGGTTTGCCTGACATGTATCAATGGCATTATGGCCAAAATTTCTCTAAAGTCGCGGTTTGGATGATACTTGTTAGTGTTTGATATGTGATACCTTTCTGGTCCTAAATGTAAGACCCTTATACTAATATGTATAAGGATCTGTTTGGCTCAATAAGAGGAAAGGAAGGAGAGGGGAGGAGAGTAGAAGGATTTTAATATTATTTTGTTTGGATTTATAAAAAAAGAGGGGAGGGGAAGAGTTTTAATATTACCTTGTTTGGTTTATGAGGGGAGGGAAGGAAAAAATATTTTAACATGGACAATTTTATTCTTATTTTATTTAAGATATGAGTATAATGGTCATCACATGACAATATAGGCATAATGGTCACAATATAGTAAAATATTGCTTTTTCTCTCCAAATCCTTCCAATTTTAGAGGGGAGGTTGAGGAGGGGAGGAGAGGGCAATGATTAAAATCCTTCCCCCTCCTTTCCTTTTCCTCCAAATCCTTTATAACAAACGCACCTTAAGAGTCTTACATTTACAATCAGAAGAGCATGAGTATAGAAACAAAGTTATTTATAAATAACAGAGTAGCAAAGTTATCTGCGTCAGATTTGGGATTGGAGTGGTACATATCTGTTTCATTCTCATGTGTCGTTGTGTCGCCCAAAAAACTAGTTTTCTAATATTGTGGTTTTTGATTTTGGATTGTTTGTGAAAGTATTTAAAAATACTTATAAACTTATTTTACATAAATCGAGATGAAATCTTTCTCATATATTTATCTCATATTCCGTAAATTATGATTAAAAAGTTATTTATAAACTATTCTAAACATGCTCTTTGTGCGTGTAGTCCGTTCGCGTTTGGCTTCTCTACGTTGCCTTCTTTCCTCTCCTACCCTCCTCTATCTAGAACTATGTCGTTCTCGATTTTTTTTTTGTGAAAGTTTTTGGTGGGAAAATTTAAATTTTTTTAAATAATACTACCTCCTGTCCTAATTATAAGAACCAGTTGACTAATTTGAGGAGATTAAAGAAGTAAGTTGAGTTAGTTATTTGTTTAAATAAGTGTTGTCTTTCCTAAAAAATCCTTACTAATCAAGTACATTGACTAGAACTATCATTATTAGAAGGGCTACTTTGGAAAAAAATGTATAAATATTTGAGACAAAGTGGATTGGAGTCTTATATTTAGGACCAAAATAAAAGTCAAACAGAGTCTTATATTAAGGACCGGAGGTAGTACTCAATATCTTAAAATATTTTTTAACAACATCCAATATCTTAAAATAATTTTTTGATATACTAAGCATTATAAAGTATTTTTCTACTAACACCTCGACCTGGTATCCTGAAATATACTCAACACACAAAAATATTTTTTTAGTAGTACTTAATATTCTATTTTAAGCATCTAAATTATTTTTTCAAAAGCACCCTGTATCCCAAAAATAATTTTTGGCAGTACCATGAACTATTTCTTAATAACAGAGTATCCTAAAGATATACTCAACACTCTTAAATATTTTTTTCAGGAGCACCAAGAATCTTAAAATAATTTTTGATATATTAAGTACTCTAAAACACTTTGTAGTATCCTAAAATAATTCTGGGCTCCATTAACACCAAGTGCTGAGTGTATTTTTGAGAAACTGAATGTTATTAAAAAAAAATTTTATGATGCCGAGTAAATCAAAAAATTATTTTAAATTATGGGGTGTTATTGAAAAATACTTTAAAATAATAAATCTTATTTTAAAAAAAAGCATTGAAGCCCATTTTCTACCCAAAACGGCGTAGTTGTGGGGAGGGGAGGGCACCAGGAAAAGGAGGGCAACGGAGAGAAGCCCAACGCAGTTGGTTCATGGTGTCTGAATGGGAAAGGGTAAAAAAATTCTCGTACTGTGTACACATTCTCTCCCAAATTTGTAACTTTTTTCCCCAAAAGATCTCCATTGACAGCAAAAGTTACAATACACATAATTAAATAGGATAGTCTAGAAAAGCCAATACATATTACAAATAATCAATTTAACTAATTTTTTTAATAGTTCTGAATTAGTTATCTAGTTTTTATATTAAGAATAAGAAGGAGATAAGCAGTTCTTGTCATAGCGGAAGAGAAAAATAAATTGGTCATTCCTACTGAAACGTATAAGAAACTTCAAGATTTGGAAGGGATAGCTCAATTAGCGAAGAATTTTAGCACCGCCAGCCACTCAAAAGAATTCATACGCTTTACATTGAAGTCGCCTGTAAAGTATATAATATGATCTTGTGCAAGAAATGGAAATTTCCGAGTTCTTCAAAAATTAAAATAGATCTCATGCTGAAAAGACAGAAAAAGACTTTTGTTCTTGTCACGCAAGCGTGTATGAAATGACTTTTTGGATACGTCCAATGTTGTTCCTAAAGTGGTAGAAGTTCTTTATATATATTTCCTCCGGTTTGAAATATAAAATAAATTTTGTTAGAGGACTGGATTTTTTTATAAGATAATATTTATTTTTTGTCTAAGCATTTAATAAGTTTTTTTAATTTTACCCCTAACATATATTCTCTTTCTTCTTTAATTTATTTATTGTATCTTTTACTTAATCTCTTAATTAATAAGGGCATATTTTTTAAAAAAAATACATGCCTTACATATTTA